AACATGACTGACTCAAGTGGAAACACTGCGATGCATTATGCAGTTTCTCATGGAAATTTTGATGTAGTGTCTATTCTTCTTGATTCAAAAGTTTGCGATATTAATAAAGCAAATGTAGCTGGATATACGGCTGTGATGTTGGCAGCTCTTGCTGAAGTCAGAAATTCCACTCATGCTTCAGTGGCTAATAAATTATTTCAGCTTGCAGATGTTAATATTCGAGCAAAATTAGTAAGTATTTTATGTAATTATAATGTTTTTATATTAATTTTTTATATTTTATTTAAAATTTTTAGCATGGTCAAACTGCCTTGATGTTGGCAGTATCTCATGGTCGAAAAGATATGACTCAATTACTTCTGGATGCTGGAGCAGCAGTTAATATTCAAGATGAAGATGGTAGTACAGCCTTAATGTGTGCCGCGGAACACGGACATACGGATATTGTACGATTATTACTTGCGCATCCAGATTGTGATCCATCGATCGTTGATATAGATGGTAGTTCCGCTCTAAAAATAGCTTTAGAAGCGGGCAATCGAGATATTGGTGTATTACTTTATGCCCATGAACGCGTAAATAGAGGAACAAGTCCATATTCGTCAATGAGACGAAATAGAAGAGGTTCCAAACCAACAACACCTACTGGACCTTCTCCTTCAGCTCCAGTAAGCCCAGCTCCATCTCGAAGAATTCATTCATCAACAGTTTCTTTAAATTCTTCAAAATATTCTGCTAAATAATTCTCAATATTTGAAGACTTTTTTTTTATTGATATTTAACATACTAGCAAATAGTTTGAATTATAATCGCATTATACGAATAAGCAATAATGCAATCGGCGTTCCGTGTTTCCTATATTTATTGCTAACATGTTTTAGTATTTATCATCGATTTACAATATTTTAAGGTGTTAATTTTTTAAGATAAACAATCATGTTCTTGCCTAATCATTCATCAGCCTCAATTCAAGCATTTAATTTAAGATATCTATTTAACTGCTCAAATTTGTATACAATTATTCGAAAAAAGTTTGAGAGTGCTGTTTTGTAAAGTTAGTCCATAGGAAGGATATATGTGAAACGTATTGTTTCACATTGTTAGTTAATAGGAAGGATTTGTATAAAGTTTAAAACTTTTTTCTAGGTGCTATCAAAATAAAAATAAATCCATTTTCATTGTTAATAAATTTTATACGATGTCACAAACGAATAAGAAACGTCAGTGACCAATGATTCAAAATTTTATTCTTAAATTTATAAAACCATATGAAAGTACAAAAAGTTTCTTATATATAAAAACAAGTCACAGTGAAAAAAATCTAATAATGTCTTCCAACATCCTGTGACATTAAACATTCCAAAAAACAAATTGTCAACAATCCGAATTTCTTGTCACAGAAAGTTTTCTTATACTCATAATATATTCGAGAGTCAGGCCTAATTTTCGTTTAATCCTCGGGATCAAACTATCAATAGAATAATTGTGTACTGAGACAATGTAGAGAACAATGTGTAATAACTATATGGTGCACAAACGTGAGATTTATAATTCTCGTGACTAATGTTGAATTTACATATGAAGAAATTTGTAAAAACCTATCGATGATCGTTCAATGTTGAAATAAATATGTTATAAATGTGAAAAATATAAATATAGCATCTATGAACAACAACAAAATATTGAAGGGCATACGAAGGAAATTTAGTTGAATAGTTGTTAATTGAAATTATTTCACGGTACGATATATATAT